TCCAGGTGAACCAGTGACGTCACTAAAAAAGGCTGCCTTTTGTGTGAGATTTGTTACATGTGGTCGATGACTCTCTGCAGGTACGACAACAGATGTCGTCACCTCCACCCTGACCAGGTCCAGGAGAAGATGGCGAAGGGAGAAGCGCACGTCATCAGGTTTCGCCTGAAGGAGGGGGTGGAGCCTTTTGAGGATATGATCTTTGGATGGAATCGTCATGACGTGGCTCAGGTTCGGCTCGTGGGACCGTCAGAACTGACTGCTCTGTTTTAGTCACTGAAGACAACCCACCTCCACCCACTCGTCCCCTTTTTTTGGTTGTAGGGGAACCCCGCTGTTGAACAAAGACGGTAATAAACTGTCCAAGAGGCAGGGGGACATTTTCATCCACAGCTTCCAGAAGGACACGATCCTGCCGGACACACTGTTGGACATCACCACTCACTGTGGCTCTGGATTCAACTGTGAGTCACAGAAAAGTTGGATGAAAAATATATCTATATATACATGTAATATATATATCAACTGTGAGTCACAGAAAAGTTGGATTCACATAAAGAGACTTTCTTTTTTTTGTTTTTAAGAATATTCCTGTTTCTTTCACAGCCAACAGAATTGGGCGGAGGTTGGATGAGCTGATTTCTGAGTTTAATCCGTCAAATATCACAACTCATTCAGCCTTAATAGACTTGGAAAAATTACCAGAGTTTAACAGGCGAGTTGAACCGTCTCCCTGTTGTTTTTGATTAGGTCAAAGTTCATGTGTGTTTTTATTTTTGTTTGTTTTTTGTTTTGTTTTTTTGAGACAGGATCCATTTGCTGCGATGCATCGAAGACACAGATCAGTGCATGTTGTTGATTAAAGATCTACAGGAGCGAATCCGTCAGACCTTCACGACTGAGATCCAGAACGAAGACGTCCTGAACCAGGATTACATCAGACGCGTGCTGCATTTACGTAAGGTAACCACAAAAGTATCCTTCACAGAAATCGGCATGAATTAATTTACATGTTTAAGTGAACCAAGTATTTGCTGATGTGAAACAGAGCACATTATACTGAGAATATTTTTGTCTGTTGTCTGACCAAAGTATTGGTTACAAAGATGTGATACACATAAACTGTATGTCCTCCTAAAAATTGTTTAAAAAGTTTGGGTGACATTTTTTTGTGTGTTTAATGTTATGATATCTGCAAAAGTTTAAATAAAATATTTCATTTTCATTGGGTCTTATTATTTTACTCTATTTGATATTTTTATCCTTGTGCTAATGCATGTTTTCCATATGTTTATATATATATATTTAGATGTATTTACTGTAATCTGACCGTTTGGAAACTTAAAAAAAACAACCTTTGTTTCTTTGATAGTGAAACTCTTTCTCCCACTTCCCCACAGGGCCACATTTCCTCCTTGAAGGAGCTCGTCAGTCCGAATTACTCTTACTTGTGGGTCCGTCCTTCCGTCACTAGCCAGCAGGTGGCAGCAATCACCGCAGAAGCTCAGCATATAGCCACGGCAGTACTGAAGTATGTTGGGACGTTTTTGGCCTCGTGTACTCAGCCGTGCTCCAGTTTACCGCCTGTTCATGAACATTTTCGTTCGTCCTGTATTTCAGATTAACCAATGAGCGACGGCAGCAGTTTAACCTCGATCAGCTGAGTCAGGATCTGAGGACTTTGTCCAATCAGACGAGGAGCACGGAGCACAGAGACTTGATGAAGCTCCTGCGGCTGGTCCTCAGCGGCCTTCAGGTACCTGGACACAGGCCGGTCAGTTTGGTGGGAGGTTTGAAAATGTGTTGGTGTAGGAATACTAGTTAATACTAGTAATGCTAGAATACTAGTTGATAAATTTGATTGACAGCTTCCCACCTGAACTGTAGTATTTACAGTGAGCGTCACCTCAGAGGAAGTAACGACAATTTTTAGATCATTGCAAATTTCATTTCTGCTATTTTCACTTTCAAAGTTCTTTTTTTTTTAATTCCAAAATTGTGTGCATTTTTACTGTCTTTGTGTTAGAAATCCAAACTAATGCTAAAAATACCTGTTACTGGTTTCGCTTCTGCCTTACAAACAGGAAGGTCTGGGGTTCGAGCACCAGAGGAACCACAATAAAGATTAAATTATTATTATTATTATTACTATTTTAATCTATTGGTACTGAAGTTTGAAAAGTGCTTTTATATAAATATATATTTTTACATTTGTCCTTTATGTGAAGTAAATCTATTATAAAGATATTCTGGTTCTTCATTTCTTCCTAGTTTGTTCCATACTACATACAGTATACACATATACAAGTATACGTATACAAAGTACTTTATCTCCTCTGATAAAGTATCACGGTCGTTATAAGATTGAATCCCATTGGTTGCTGTCGCCGCACGACTGCTGCAAGAGCCTGGAAAGAGGAAGTCGTTTGTGATTGCGTCCGTTGCGTCGTCTGTTTCACCGTGTGTTACTTCACTGACCCCTGACCTTCTGTTTCCCCTCTGACCTGCAGCACGGCCCCAGCGTGGCAGAGATGATGGCCTCCCTGGGCCCCGCGGAGGTCAGCCATCGGTTCCAGAAACTTCTCCAGCTGTGAGAGACGAGTCGGAGGCTGGACTGACTTCCTGTTTAAGGTCTCAGAGCAGACTGTTGGGGGTAAACGGCGACTGAGACCTGGTCGCAGTTGAACTGACGGTGACATCACACACTGAATGAGTGGGAAGTACCTTCATATTTCTGAATGCAAATGACGAGGTTCTTCAGAAAAACCTGAAGGAGCCACAGACCGCAGATGTTCCCAACAGTCAGAAGAGGGGGAAAAACAGAAAATCTGTAAATATTCATGTGCTCCTAAAATAATAGATTGTTTTTTTTTAATTACTGATCTATAATAAATCATGCCTCTGAAGTACGAACTGTCGTATTGATCTGCATCTGTGTTTATCAGAAGTTTAAAATCACTCTCCAGAAGTTTAGTTGAAGACAACGCTGATGTACTGGCAGGAATTGAAGAAAGACACAAGGATTTTCTTCGACAGGTCTGATTATCTTTTTGTTTTTTAGTTTTTATAGCCATGTGCTGCCCCCTAGCACATATAAATACATACACATATATTTATACATTTCTATGATATTTAAAACCTTGACAAAATATTTTATAAAATCATGATAAAATGAGCAGGTGAACCATGAGAAGAAAACAGAAATAAAACAACAGAGAAGGCTTTGAAGATCAAAGCAACATGTTTTAAAAAAATATATCAAAAATGTCAGCACCGATCGGTGTCGTTTGATATTTCTGTCCCTAAACACGTGCAACACTTTACAGTTGTAACATTTTGGTCAAAATCAAAGGATTCTCGTGACTCCAGGTACTGAGAACATTCTAGATCAAGGGTAGGGAACCTATGGCTCGTGGGCCAGATGTGGCTCGTTTGATGTCTGCATCTGGAACCATATTTTTATAACGCAGCAGCAGAAGTCGCATTAATGGTAAGAAATATTTATATGTATCGCTCAGTGCAACAACGTAATTAAATATTTTAAGAAATCAAATGTATTAGTCTTGTTTAAAAATTTGTATTCAGAGTAAAAAGAGTAAAAAAAAAATTTTTTTTTTTTATCTTTTTTCTGCAGTTCAACGACTCTGTCAACGACAACAGTCGTCGTTGTTGTTGTTGGTGCTACTGTTGCTAATCACTGTGTCTCCAAGTGTAGGAAGTGTCGTTGAAAAGTAGAAGGAAACGAGACAGAATCTAAAATCAGATAAAACCAGGTTAAACTTGTCCACACACACACACACACACACACACACACACACACCAGTGTGCAGTGGTTATTCGGTTGTTGGAGGGGTGGGGTGTGTTGGGGGGGTTACATTTTCTGTCAGCAGTGTGACAGTGTGTATGTGTGTCACATGTCACCACCGCAGCAGTTCCACCTCCGCCTGTCTACAGAACACACACACTCACACACACACACACACACCGAGGCAGCAGCAGCAGCGGCGGCGGCGGCGGCAGAGACCGGACGATGGCCAGCGGTGACAGTCTGGACTCGTGGCTCAGTGAGTTCTTCTGTTTTCACTCTTTCAGTTCTCATTTCAATGTTTTAAAAAAAAAAAGTTCGAGGCTGTTGGTTTTTTTTTTTTTTGCACTAACGTTTCAGTGGGACGTGAATGTGGAGCCGGACGAACTCGTGAACGTGTGTCGGTCACGGTTACTGTGACGTCATGTTTTCCTTTTCAACAATATCAATTCAATATCTGCGCCTTTTTGTTCAAACCGCTGTTTTCGGCTTTGTTGTTTTTTTTATTTTTTAAAGTTAGAAACTGCAACAGGAAGTTGGTGTGAGCGCGCTCCCGAGCCCTGCTGCTGTGTTGTGTTTCTGCTGTGCGCATTCACGACCAGTGGACGTAAAAATAAAACCGGGTTTCGATTCTTTTTTCTTTTCTTTCTTTCGTGCTGCTGCTGCTTCTTCTTTTTTTTTTTTTTACAAAATATTCTTGTTTAAAAAATTATTATAAATCGGTGACAAAGTGTTGACGTTTGAAAACGAAAATTGAATGAATTGCGTAAGTGATGACGCAGGCAAAACATGATTTATCACGCGAAAGGACAGAAAAAGAACTTTGAATGTTTCTCTTTGATAAAAATAGAATGTGAAACACGCAACGCAGGCAAAGTTTGGCCCAGAGCTTCAGTCAGTTTTTCCTTGAGAATCACAATTCCACGTTTTTCCCTGGAGCTGCTGGTTTTCAGTAAGAGACAGATGTGGACCGCAGGCAGACCAGTACTGTTCATCTCACTGTCATCTTTATAGATCTGTACATTTTACTGATTGAACACTTCACTGCCTTTGTTTCAGACCAGGCCACGGACCCCAATAACGAGGCTGAAAGATGGGACTGCATCCAGGGTTTCTACGAGCTCGTCAACCAGGAGACGGACGGGTGAATTTTAAAAATTTTCTTAAAGCATGTTTGGTTTTTTTTTTTTTTTTTTTTCTTCTGGAAGTTTCCAAACACACGCCTGTGGTGTTTGAGAAAGAATTGCTTCACATCCTTGTTGCGATAAAGGCTACAGCGACACGTACGTAAGAGCGTGAAGGGAAGTCTGCGGCGGCGTTTACCTGTTTGAACCCAAACCAGCCGTTACACACAGTCCATGAACGCAGCGTTGTATCCAGGCGTAAAACACGACTTTGTTATGATTTCAGACATGAAGGTGGAACACGATGTTGGAAAACCAGCGACGTTGTTTGAATTTGCTGCAGTTTTTCTGTGATTAGCGTCGAGTTAAAAGTTGAGCCAAGTTTAGTGAATATTTTCACAGATGATTTCCTAATATTAGATATTAATATTAGATATTAGAAAAGCTCTAAATTCACTGCAAAAATATTGAGTTAAATCACATAATAACTTGAAAATAAAAAAATCAAATAACTTGTGAAATTGTACTTGTTTTTAGAAGAGATTCAGAAGATGAGTTTAAAATGTCATATTTCAGCAAAAACATTTTCTTTTTTTGATCACGGCTTTTGTTTTGTCTGTCATTTAAATGCATTTTACAGTTTGTTTTTGTTTGTTTGTTTGTTTGTTTGTTTTATTTAGTCCACAGGTCGCCATTCGCCTTCTTGCTCATAAAATCCAGTCTCCGCAGGAGAAGGAGGCGCTGCAGGCCATCACTGTGAGTAATCACTGGAGATCACTGCAGTACAGAGACAGTACACAGTACTCTGTGTATTTGTATCTTTGTAAATTGTATTATTGAAGTACTTGTCTTTGATAAAGTTACTACATATTTGTCGGTTTCTTTCTCGTCTTTTTTTATCGGCATCGATCACTTTTTATTTTTCGTGAAAAGTATCCGTCTTCATAGCTTTAGGTCCACGAGTCTGGACTCGTCACTGCTGCTCTTCATCATTTTTCACTGTCAGAACACAGCAGATGAAGATCACATGACTCCGCTCTGTGACAAACGTCTGTCACATGGTACCGTGAGGCGTTCAAATGTGCGTTTAATTTGGCTTTGATTTCATGCTGTTTCTAATCTGAGCAGAAAGAAAAGGCAGAAAGTATTCGACACGTGCCTGGCCTCATGTGATGACCCCCCCCCCACGCTGACCCCCCCCCAGTTGGATTTCAGTTTGGTGACAGCCGTGTCTTTTCTGGTGGTTTCCAGGTCCTGGAGGCGTGCATGAACAACTGTGGAAAGAGGTTCCAGTGTGAAGCGGCCAAGTTTCGATTTCTCAATGAACTCATCAAAGTGTTAACACCTAAGGTAGAGTTCTGACTCAGGGACCGGCTGTGGTTCCTGTTGATCATTCAAACCAAACCAACAAAACAATTCAAAAACCCTGAGTATTAATGTTTATAATATAGATATAAATAGTTTTAAATGAGTATTTCTAAGAAACCGAAAACATTTGAATCCTGTTCAGTTTGAATTTTTATTTTTAAAGATTAGACCCAAAATGACATGAAATAAATAGATTTAGTTTTCTGTTGTTACTACAGTAACGACATCTGTTGAACCGTCAGTGAAGTCTACAGACAGTAAAGCTGTGGTGCAGTGTGAAACGTATCACGTCTGACCAACAACAACCTTTTTTCTGTTTGTTTTTCTGGGCAGTATTTTGGAGCCTGGACTCCTCAGAAGGTCAAAGACAGAGTGACTGAGGTTCTCTATGGTTGGACGCTGTGGCTGAAAGACGAGACCAAGATTCAAGAGGCCTACAGCATGCTGAAGAAACAAGGTGGGCCGCCGGTGTCACCTGTACGAGGCCCACTCGTTAGAAAATCTTTTTAGGAGTCGTTGACCGGTTGGCCTGTAACGAAGCCTCATCGTGAATCAGTTAAAAACAATGATACAAATGCGTGAGAATTTGCATCGGTTGAAATAAAAAATAAAAAACCTCACTGGTCATACCATGACACTACACACTCTAGGACAGTAGGTGGCAGTATGCTCCTAAAGTCGTTACGTCTCGTCGTGTCATCGTGTCCCTTTGACATTTTCAGGTATTGTGACGGAGGATCCTAAACTCTCAGAAATCCTCATCATCGCTCCCCCCCCACAGAGGAGCTCAGAGTCGGTTTTTGACCAGAAGGACAAAGCATCAGTAAGTGTGTGTGTGTGTGTGTGTGTGTTCAAGAATGTCAGGTTACACAAATGTAAGCATCTGTCTGTGTGTGTGTGTGTGTGTGTGTGTGTTCAGCTCCTAGCTCGTCTGCTGAAGCCGTCCTGAAGACCTGGAAACTGCAAACAGACTCATCAAGAGCACGGTCAGAGAGGTGAGGACTCCTCGGTGTGACCTCAGGTCTCTGTTTATATCCAAACGTCTCTCACTCCGTCATCGTCTCCGTCTCATTTTCTCTTTTATTTCAGGAGCAGGAAAAGGCCGAGAAGAGTCTGAAGCGTGAGTCTACGCTGAAGGAGGTGGAGAGCTGCACCAAGCAGCTGAGAGAGCTGCTGGATCAACACAACACGACAGGAACCACGCTGCCCCCTAGTGACGACATGAAGGTCGGTCCAAAACAGAGGCATCTGAAACATCTGAAAGTCGGTTCACCGTGTCTGAGTACAGCGTCTTCGTATAAAATCACCCTGAAAAATCGATCACAGAGAAACTCAAGACTGTTTGCGTTGTCAGCTGCTCTTTGTTTTGACTCTTTACTCCCCCTACTGTCCAGGCCCTGTATGAAAACTGTGACCGCCTCAGGCCCAGTCTGTTTCGTTTGGCCAGTGACACCTTGGACGACGACACGGCTCTGGCTCAAGTCCTGGCGGCTAACGACGATCTGACGCTGGCGGTGAACGCCTACAAAGACTGTTTCACGAAGAGAGAGACCAACGCGGTCCGAGAGCGGAGCGACAGTGAGGAGGAGAAGAGCAAATCCAGCGGTACGAGGTTCATGGCCGTGGATGAACGCCCGGTACAGATTTGTTTGACGGCTGTATAATTTCGGTGTGTTTCCTCTGGTGTCTGCAGCTTCCTCCAGTCCCAGGGAGATCAAGAGCTACCACCTGATCGACCTGTCAGCGCTCGACTCTCCTGAGGTCCACAGGAAAACCAAGGCACCACCGGCCGGCCGATCGTCGTCACCTCAGCTGGACAACAACATTCATTTATTCCCTGAACCTCCATCCACTTCATTAGGTAGAATTTAGCCTAGCTTAGCTTAGCTTAGCCTAGCCGCTGGTTTGTTGTTGTTAGCCCTTAGCTTAGCCGCTGGTTTGTTGTTGTTAGCTGTTGGGTCCTCATGTGCTGCTGCTGCTGTTGTTTTTCTTGTAGATAACGCAGTTCAAACTCCAGGACATTCACTGTCTTACTTTGAGGAACTGATGCAGGTGAGGCCGCAGTCAGTCGGAAACACCGCTGTTTCCATGGAGACGTGTTGATCCTGGTGTTTCCTCTCTTAGTTCAATGACGACGTCCAGAAGAACAACAGTCAGCAGAACGAGAGGAGGGACGTCCTGCTACGAGCTCGAGGGTGTTTGGGCGATAACGGGGTGTCCAATGACACTGACACCTGGTAAGACTTGGGGGGGGGGTACAGGGGGGGCGTATCATTACATCATTACAGGGGGCAGAGTCTGAGACTAGGATCACACTCTGACTACAGTTAAATTGTTAAAGAATCAGAGTCAAGCCTCTGTGTCACCGTCTCTGAATGACTTCCTCGTGACCAGGATGTGATCGTTATCTTGACTAATCAGGTCATGTGTGAATATTCACTGATCATTTTTTAAAAAAGCGCATGATTTTAATCCACGTTGATGGACGTCCTGGACATGATGAGGTGAGACAAATCTGTGTCCCGTGAGGACACGTGTCCTGATGCTGGACTGGTAGTTGTTGTCTGTCCGGTCACACGGAGACGACTGTTGTTTCAGTCTAAACTGATGATGTGGTTCAGTGGGTTTTAGATCGGCCGCGGCTGAAGGATTGTCACGTTTGATTTTCTTTATGGGAAAAATAATCTGTGACGTTTACGCCTTCATCGCTGAGACGAGAGAGAAACACTCAAACAACCACAGTCTAGTCTTTAATTTAATTTATTTTCATTAATTCCTGCTAACATTACTTTTTTTTTAAATTACTTATTTATTTAATTATTTTTATTTTGATGGAATCACTGATGGAATGATTGTCTTATCAGGCCTCGACATCAGCAGTTCACTGGATCTGGTTCCACCTACAGGACAGAGACACAACCTGCACCACGGACAGAGACAGTGTCCACGTCACAGCTGCTGAGACACGTCTTCGTCCCAGTGGAGACCATCAAGTCCAGTGAGTCTCCAAAGAATTAACACGGCTCCAGAAAGTC